TGTGTGTTTGTGTGTGTGTTTTTGGTGCACATTACCCTCAAACACACTGCAGCTACTTTGAACTACTCTGTGGACCGAGATCACCTTTCGTCCTACATTCCTCTGCCCTACTCTTTCTCAGTTTCACTCTGTGTGTCTGCAGCTCACTCTTTCACCGTTTCTATGCAGCTTGTTTGTAGCTTCTGTGCTGGATGAGTCACATAAATAGAAAAGCTTAGCACATACACCAATTCCACAGCCTTTAAATAAAACTCTGTATTTACAGTGTTCTGAAATATGCACTTAGGAGGACCCGTTCCTGTGGTGCAGACTAATTACAAGAGATGAAGTGAAAATACTCAGCTGTTCTTTTAAAAGGGTAAACTAAATAAAGGTCAGCCAAAATCATAAAGTGCAGCTGTTTAACATCCCAAATTGTGTCCTTTAAATGAGTGCTTTCATCATGTTTACCTAAATGGGATTGTGATACAGGACTGGTTGCCTAAAAGGTATGTTTGTACAGAATCTTAAGGTATTCAGATGCAGCTCTCAAGCTATTTTTGTATTGCAACTACTAAAGATAGATCCTTCTTTCCCCCAAGAGCTCAGGAGTCTCTTCATCAATGGTCTCTGTCGACCCACTCATCCATCCTAATCGAGCACAATCTTCAGTCTTCCCACCACGTTGTGAGATGTCGCTGGAGCCACGGCTTGTAAAGACACCAAGGAGGTTAAAGATTAGACCGTGTAATCTGATTGGCTGGCTGCATTGCTCTGTACTGTACTGCAGCAGTGGCTCAGCTCACAGGGAGTGATACTGGGCTGTCAGTGGGCCACGGCGAGATTAGAAGGCAGCTTCAGGACACACTGTGTCTTGACTAGTGGGATAGACTACCACTGGGGCACTGCTGTTAATAACTGCACTGAAAGGGAAAAGTCTGTGTATAAGAAAAAATCTTTTTTTTTTTTACATTGTTTCCCAGCAGCAGCAAAAGTTAGGTTGCAAGGAGGAGTAATTCAACATGTTGGGAAATACGCTACTGTAAATACCAAAAGAGCCTGTGATGCTTTCTTTGCGAGAGTGAGAAAGATTCATATCAGTTTTATTACTGTGTGTTATGTACAGTCAGCCTTGCTTAGCCTAACGACCGGAAGCATGGGGAAACAGCTAGCATGGCTCTCAGAATTTCAGTATGCATGTACCAACACCTCTAAAGCTCACTAACACATTGAAATGACATAAAATGACAATTTGTGGTTTAATGGGGAGTTTTGGTGAACAATTACTGGACACAGTGACTGTGCACAGCTTCGTGCAGATTTCCATCGTATCTTTACAGAGATGACATTTGAAATTGTTTTCATAAGTGCATAATCACCTGACTATAAGAATCGTGTTTTTGTTAGCTGTTACCTTAGAATGAGATGTTTTTATCTACAGACACCGCGATGAACAGGTCAGACATCTCATGGAATAGGACTGTATCTCTGCTAAATTTAGGGATTTAGTCAAAGCGCGTTATAAATGCAGCAGTCCCAGTAAACTAAGAAAAAAAAGACCAAGCCCCTCCACTTCCACGCATGCTCCTCCCTCACCCTATCACCCTTTGATGAAAAATGGGTCTCAGTATTTTATTCATCACTGTCAGCGTCAAAGGAAATCGCTCCTGGAGGGAAACGATTAAAACCAGACCTCACTCAAGTGAAAAACATCCCTGTTTTGTTCAAGTGTTCATCATTTTTCTTCGGGGATCACCGTTGGCATTCAGCCCAGGCTCTGACTGTGTGACACGTCTGCCCAAATGAGCCCACATTTCTTTGTAATGAGGAAGAAAACCCTGCACAGAGTGTCATTTGGCTGGAGGCAGGTGATGGAAGGGTTGAGTTCAGGGGAAAGATGGAGAACCTTGCCTGGATGTTAATGAGATGTTGCACCACCATATGTTCCCGCGCTCCTCCTGATCAATCAACAGGCAATTACACCATGACAAGTAGAGGCATCATCAGACCTCCCCCAGACCTGCCCTCCTCTAGCACTTATTGGCTGTGACAGGCTGGGATAGAAAGTGGCAGGCGAGTGTCTCCTCCAATCATGAGCCACAGTGGGGAGTGGGGGTGGGGGCATGCAGGATTGTCATTCTATGGTAATCAGTGTTGTTAATTTACATTCCTGGCAGCCGTCTCTGCAACGAACCATATAACGTAGTTAAACTCTTACTGAAGACAGTCAGGAGAAGAGAGAAAACATCTTTTCAATGAAGAAAAGCCTTCAGTGCCGTTCTTTGCTCTTCTTTCAATGCATCTACGCTAACCTCTTTAGCAGCCGCTTTTGTTGTTTTCAGGCATGTCGTTGAACCGAGCCCATAGCTCATGTCGTTGTTGCCAGTAGTTCCTCATAAGATGCTGATTTGTCCTTATTTTCTTACTTACTGCTTCTGGTACACTATTTGGCCATTATGTGGTAGGTCCCTAAGGTCCAATGAAGGGAAATGTTAATGCTACACCATACAATTATAGCATTAAGACAACAGTGTAATTCTAATTTGTGGCAACTGTTTATGGATGGTCCTTAACATAAAAAAATGGTTTTCTCAGTTTGGTGTGGAGGAATTTGCCTGCACAGAGCCCTGACCTCAACCTTATTCAAAACCTTTGGGGTGAACTGGAACACATAATGCAAGCCAGGCCTTCGGACTGAAATCAGCCCTGTGTTACAACAATGCTACGGGTAGTGTTGGTGGGGGCGTGTTGTCTCACATACCAGTAAGATGTGAAAAATAAGCCAAGAAGCCCAGTTTTAGTAACAGTTTTTTTATCTTTCGTCTTACAGTGGTGTGATACAAAGTCAGACACCAGAAATGTGCGGTGTGGCAGTCCTTCCTGTCTTGTCTTCTTCAAAAACACAACATAGCCAATGTATTGTAAAGTACAAAGGAATGAGGAAATGCATAGAAGAAAACACGTGCTGTGCAATAATGACATTTCCCAAAGAAATTGGGTGCTGTTTGGTGCGTGGACAATGATGAGTACTTACATCCCTGCAGCCAAGTTCCATAATATGGTGGAAAGTCTGAAACCACAAGAGTGGAGGCCGCTATAGGAGCATATGCAGGGTTTCTCCCAGGACATTCATTAGTATAGGTGATGGTCATTGGCACTGGGTGAACCAACCCTTTAAATTTATTCTCAGATTATTAGGGCTGCAACTAACATTTACTTTCATCATCAATGATGATTATTTTCTAGATTAATTGTTTGGGGTGAAAAATGTTGATCAGTGTTTCCCAAAGCCCAAGGTGACGTTCTCAAATTTCTTGTTTTGTCCACAACCACAAGATATTCACTTAACTGTTTAGAGAAACTGAAATCATGGAATTTTTTCTAAATTAATCATCAAAGTAGTTGCCAATTAATTTGATAGTTGACAAAAAATCGATTAATTATTGCAGTTCTACAAATCATATTAACCATTCTTGACGGTCACACTAACGCACAGTCTAAATGGGAGCGTACCTATGTTCCCCGGGTTCTATNNNTGTATGGGACCGGGGAACCCTAACCCTAACCTTAGCGCTCACTTTCCCCATGACTTCAGTTTCAATGTCAAGGCTCTGTCTGATTTAATCGATTTTGTCGGCCGTTTAATGTGTCAAGTTTTCCACCATTTTGGAGTTCTGTTTTTGTTTATGTGTCTGTTCTTTCCAGGTCAGTTGAGCAGTAGTTGACCAAGATTTTCACTCAGAATTAATGATTTCCTGGCTTGTTTCTCTGATTTGTCATGGAATGAGATGCTTCTGTAAGCTTCTTTCATTTTGATTTCTTTTCTAATCTTTCCTCTAGACACTGTGCCTCTCTTATTATATCACAACATTATCAGGGTGCAGCTGAACTGCATTGAAGGATCGCCTGATGTCAGCTGTTCACCACAGACAGCTTTGCTCCTTCCCTTGTGAGACTGAGCTGGCTGTGTTTATCAGTCCCTGATGCACTGTTACAGTTTCACAATGACATGTCCCATCCTGTTTTTCAGCATCCAGGAGCCCTGTCTCTGCCGGGGCTTTCTGCAGCGCTACATTTTGCCATATCAGATTTGTTGCTTTTTAAATGATTACATGCTTGCTCAACTATCACAGGCACTTGTACCTGTCATATTTCAAAGGGGTTTTTTTTTGCACTGCAGAAAATTTTGTCAAGGATGAATCAGCCATTCTGAAAGGAGCCCCCATAGCTATTTCTATAAAAATAATTGAATTGGTTCAACTCACTTCAGCGAGAGGAGAAAATAAATTCACTCTCTGTTAGATTCCTCCCTCATCATCTTCTTGTTATTCTTCACGAGGCCTGGCTGGGTGAGCTTTGATGTGTTTCAGTGCGAGGAAAAGAAACAGGGTGTAATTTATGAGGTGTGAAAGAAAATCGCTTAGGAGAAACACTTTTCGAGACACGTCGGGTTGGAGTGGCCCAGCGTTAATGAAGCCACCTGAGACGCCGAGGCCAAACTTATCCTGGCGCGATGTGAGCGGGAAGGGGAACAGGTAGGAAAGGATTTGCTGTAACATGAAAAAAGAAACAGGAGTGTTTCAGTGAGAGTCCCTCGCTGTGTTTCCCACAGAGGTGTGTGTGGGAGAAACTTTGAGCCTGTTCAGACTTGAGAGAAAGCAAATACAGACTTGAAACACACACAGAGAAGGACGTGGGATTTGTGTGGTATGGATGTAAGATTTTATGGGTCAAATGAAACAATGAAATGGAAACATAGCTACAGTAGGCAAAATAACAGACTAAGATAACATCTTGAAACAACTAGGCTGCAGTCACAATAAGAGTCCTGTGGGTTTGTAATACTCGTAGGGCACAACACCATCTTTTGCAGTTGTGGTCAAAATACTTAACAATACGTCATCACAAGCTCTTGGATACGACATCACCGTGCTAGCATGCTTTTGTAGGTACAGTACATTTATTAGGGTTATCATCTTAGTTTAGCATTTTAGCCTGCTAATATTTGCCAGTTAGCATCAAACAGAGTATAGCTAAGACTGATAGCAATTTCATTAGTTTTGCACATAGATATACACCGATTAGCCATACCATCATGAGCACTGACTGGTGAAGTGAATAACACTGATTATCTGGTTATCATGGCACCTGTCAGTAGGTGGGATATA